TGTGACTAGAAATTGACATTTAAAATGAAAAGCCATATTTTGTAAAGTAAAAAAGATTTTGCAATTAATGAAATTTCTAAGATTTATAAATTATATAAAAATCATATTTTTATTTGTTTAATAATAAATTAAAATTTAATAGTACTATCACATAATATTATTGCATTTTTATTTATTATTATAATTTTTTTTATCAGGTCAAGTGTGTCTTTGTGTCTTGTCCCTTTTTTAAGCTTGCAGAAGATGTGCACATATCTCATATCTATTGAAGATATTTTTATTTAAATATTTATTTTAAAGCTTTAATTCTTTTAACTACATTCAAATTGATTGATTATTATATCAATTTTAACTATATTTTAAATTTTGTGTATTATTGCTTCATTCCTATAATTAACTTAGTACTGTATGGTTAATATAATTGCTTTATGATTTCAATTTATCGCTCCTGACGATACTTCCTAGAGTATTGAATGAAAAAATTATTCTCTATCCAGGAGTTTTTATTACTTTATTAATATTATTTCTAACGTTCAAAAATTAAATCATACATGATATAAAAAACTAGCGTCTTTTTACCTTTGCTCTAAATTATTTGGGGTTAATCGCGATAAAAGTGACCGACGAGAGCAAATCACAACACATCAGACACGTCAGTCATTCAGACGAAACAACACAACTGTATGCTTTCTTTACTATGTGCATAGCAGCAGTCTGTGTTTTATCTCTCAAAATTTATCTGCATGCGCCGCGACTGTCCATTATGCTTTGATCTCGGCTTGTAATTATGCCGACGGACTTGTTTATAAAACGCGGCAGGCACAATCAAATAATTCAATCTGCTAAGAGAGAAACAAGACGAGCCGCGCTCTTCAGCAGTTGTTCACGACTTGCGAGAAAGAGATCCGTTTCGGAGATCCCCGAACACAGAGAGATTTTCTCCTCCTGGCCAGAATTTCCCACAGCAGGTCCGGCTCCATATTATTCCATTCTGAATTTATTGTTGGCGTTTTCTGGCAACCCCAAAGTCATCAAATGAGTTTTATGTGGCCTCAGATCTACACTCAAAAGAATATAGTATTAAAACAGGTCCATTTTACGGCCCAACTATCTTCGTTCTATCGCCCAACGTTCAACGTTAATTGCCGGCGGACGATTCCATATCGGACACACGAGCACCCCGGTTTTATATTTCTTGATGATATTCTATTGGCCTACTCTCTTGCTCTTGTAAAGGTTTATTATGTTTTATGCTAATTGCGCAACCCACGCTGGATAAGTGGATAAAACGCTTGGCTACTCTTCGGCACGACTGCTGGCCTTGCTCACACACTTTTAATTTCACCGATTGTTGCCGAGCGAGAAGTGCAACATTGTTGGCGGCCACACCCTTGGCCGCGGTTTCAATTTAGGCAAATGTTTTAAATTAGGCATTAATTGCACCGCAGTCGAAACTATCGAAGGCTGAAAACGAAAGAAACTTTTGCATTTCAGATTAGATTAATTGCAAAGGTAGCAAAGGCATTGTAACAAATTATACGACAAGCTTATCTTAAAGAGAGAGACGAGTGGTTTATCCATTAAGGACTTGAATTGATTGAGATACGGAGCAATGGCAAACAAAGTGCTGATAAAAATAAGTTCGCGGAATAATTATTACTGCAGTTAATTTTTTTATCTTGCTCAATGCTAAAAAAAAAACTTGTACTCTGGAAGCTCAAAAAAGGCACAGGCCGACAAAATACTCGAGCAATATAAGCTCTGATAGCGCTATTGAAAAATGTTCACATACAAAATAATATTTTATCAGCATAATCAGTCTTTAATTGAGAGACTTTTTCAAGTCAATAATATTATTTAGGCCGTTAATCTTCTCAATTGTTATTCATTTGAAGGAAAACTATGGATTAATTAATAAAAACTTATTCTTAAATTATATATTAGGTGTTTTTTATTTGATTCTTTTGAGAGAGAGAAATACAGAAAAGTGAATTTTCTTTTCTTTTTGTTTTTCAAACAAATACTAAAATTAATTATATGTAACCTTTTAACGAATAAAAATAATTATTGAAATAAAATATTTGACCACATTTTGATGATTTTTGCAATTTCAGAATGGAATCGTGGATGAGCGACGTCAAGGTGGTGAGGATTCCCCGACCGAAATTCGCCACCTCAAGTGCTGGCGGAGGCAACGGTGCCAGGAGGCCTGCGAGACGCTACCCCGCAGAGCCACCAACAGACTACAGTCTGGACAACGTGGTGGGCACCAGTGACCTGGACAGAGCCACCGAGGAGCTGCGGCGCGCCGTCCAAGAAAAACTGTGAACTTTTCTTACTCCGGTGTGATAGTTAGCTAAAAAATAAAAGTAATACTTTTCTGAGACTGTAAATAAGTAGAAGCAACGGACGAAGATATTAATCCACTTGGTTACATCATCGCCGATTCCAAAAAGTAAAAGAGAGTAAGAAAGTACCAGAGTGGATGGTGCGAAAATCCGTCCGACTTTCACTCGTTTGTTTTTAACTTTTACTCGGGCGATTGTTGTTGGTGTAATTGGCGATTTGAGCAGAGAGACTGGCGGTGCGTGATGCTGGAAATGATTTTCCTTTTCAAATTGGAAAAGCAGACGATGTGTTGTATTTAATTAGTTTATTGATTCTAAACGCAGAGGCGTGGGTAATCAAGTGGGTGGACTGACTATTTCTCTTTGTTTATTATTTAATTACAGAATAGCTCTGTATGTTCATGTGTACCTCTTTGTGTTTAACGCCGCTTTGTCATTTTATGACTCATGTAAATAAATTTTAATACAAATTTGTATTTACTCTGTGTAATGATTTCAAACCAACCGAATTTATTCAAGCTTTAGTACAAGAAATAATGAAGATTTAACAACTGTAGCTTCATTTTGACAATTTCTGTATTTTGAAAACGTATATTTAAACATTATTTTGATCATAGCCAAATTAATTTATTCAAAACAAGAAAGTTTGAACTATATTAAAACGCTAACAGATGTCTATAATTTTGCGAATTATATTAATATTGTGTATTTTAAATTATAATTTTAATTTAATGAAATATTCATAAATTGATAATTTTGCGTAGTTTTTCAATACTTATGAAGAAATATACATACAGTGATAATTTAAAGCGTTGAATTTTGTGTCTTATACATTTTCTTTTTCTTTTTTACAACCAAAACCAATTTGGTCATAAAACTCCCTTCGTTTATTTATCAAACACTTTGTTTACTTGGATTCTTTCCAAGGGCTATCTCGTTATATTTATTACGGGCCCTTTTCTCCTTTACTTCGCCGGCGGCGGCGGCACCTAATTTATCACTCGCGGCTCAATGTACCTGCCTGTTTGAGCAAGTGTGCCATAATAATTGGGTTTTTACCAGCGGCACCGCGCGGCGGTAACGCACACAGCGAAAACTAGTTGAGCGAGTCAGAAGTGAGTTAGTGAGAGTTGGCCGAGATCATTTTTCTTCCGAGCTGCTTTTTGTCATTTTTCACTTTCGTTCTGGCCTGGGTTTTCACCAGAGTAAAGAATCCAATCAGCGCAGGTGACATGAATTAATATATATACGCTCTCGGTATATAAAATCATATGACTCACTTTATACTTTCAGGGTTGTCCCGAGTGAAAGTAAACCTGCAGTCGAAACGTGTGTATATTCAAATACAAAAAGAATATTTAAAACACGTTTGCTCCGCGACCCTCGCACCGAAGAACATGATCTCTCATTACTTTCACTGGATAAATAAATCTCGCCTGCAGGCCAAGTTAGTGTAAAAGTTGAACTAAAAGGCGAGAGCGAAAGACGCATGGACGAAATTGAATAGATGTTTTAATGACGTGCCTTACCGTCGCCGCGCTTTCAAACTAGTTAGTCAGCGAAACGGTACCGCCGGCGAAAGTACAAGAAGCCTCTGCTGACCAGATGACTCCTTTTTTCGGCAATCATCGTGGGCAGCGAGTTAAAAAATTAAACTTAAGCCTTATAAGCAATTAAAGTTTGGTAAGAAAGAGACGATCAAGTAATTAGGTGACTTTACTATTAATTTAGCCCATTTATTATTTCTGAACACGCAAGTTTAATATTTTTAATTATTCTCTTAATGCAAAAATTTATTTCTGATTTAATAAAAAATAGTTTGTACTCAGCCATTTTTGCCTTTTATTAAGTTTAATTTATCTTTTTACGCAAAAACTCTACTATTTCCAAATTGTTGAAAATTAGCATCGATTATTCCATTTGAATATTTACAATTTAAAATAATTAATTTAAAAGAAAAATTAGAGAAAGCACCATTTTGAAGCTTTAAATGTTTTTGATTTAATTGGATACAGTTTCCAATTTTGTGATAAAATATTCTTTGAGGAATCATTTTAAATGATTTTTTTTATATATAAATTAATAAGATTTGAAAGCTTTAAATGAAAAAAAATTCAACTTTTCTTAAATTAAGTAAACGTTCATTGACACAAGGATAATTCCATTAAGTTACAATAAGCGGATGAAACTCGCAATAATATTTTTGCAGTTATCAATAAAATTCTATTATTGCATTGTGAAAAACCTCTTTTTCAACAATACAAAATTTTATTGCAAAAGTATCTTTTAATTTTTTAATTTCAAAATTTAAATTATTTCACTGTTTTTTTTAAACAAATTTTAAAAATTCAACATAGTTTGGATACTGATAACTCTAAAAATTGGCTGTAATCCTTTTAATTGCTATTCGCTACTCACAAAGGCGAAAATTTATTTCTCTTGGATATCGCATTTAATTATTGTCAGTCATCATTTACGTGTTTTTTTTATATCCTCCTCCTTCCGAAAGAATACGACAAGGACTTATTGCGAGGTTTTATTTATATTCAGTGCTTTTCTTGTTGGAATTAACTGCGGAGCTCAGTCGGTCGTTTTGAAGAGAATGTAAGTAAGACAGCGCGAGAAGAAGCAAAAAAGGAAACGGGTACTCACATTGGCGTCATACTGGCTCCTGTTGGCGCCGCCGTCTCCGCCGCCCTCGCCGTCTTGGTCGACGCCCGGGCTGGAATGTCTTCTGCTACCATTGCCTCGATAGTCCTGACGGAATCGACACGATTATTCGTACCAGTCTCGCGAACGAGCCAAACGCGATTTATTTATAAATAAATTCAGAGCCAAAATGAGTCCAAATCACCGAAATCGGCCAAGTTATCAATAATTATGTATCATCAGAGAAGCTATCTAGCGTATAAAGAAGAGTTAGCCCTTGGCTGTTGGGCACAGACCTGCTGAGGGTCTTGCTCGTCGGTGGAGAGGCCGAGGTCCGAGGTGCGCAGAGGTGGTCGTTGGTGCGTCCAACATGCACCGTGCATGTGTTGCAGGGGTCGGTGCGAGGGTGGTGAGTCGACCGCCGCCGGAGTTCGATACCACGTGGCCTCGCTATATACGTTTATGTACAGGCAATCAAGTTTGTATACAAACTCGCTCGGCACGGTCACCGATCGAAAATGGACCGTTTATTAAAAAAAAGAAAAAAGGATACAAATTTTCTAAACAAACAGTTTGATTAAATATAACTTTTATAGTTTTATTTTAAACCACAGTAAATTTATTTATATTTATTTTATATAATATACCTCAGGCATTATTGTAAAATTATTTCTAGTGATTTGGTTGGGCTGATTTGTTCATAATTCCATTTCTTTCAAACAAATAAATTGTTTTAATAAAAAATTAAATGTAAAAACCCAATGTCGTGTTTTGTGGACGAGCAAAGACAAAAAAAAATGAATGAATGAAATTCTTACAGTTAGAGAATCTTATAATGGGTGGATTTTTTTTTATTCAATTTTTTCATTTTTCCATTATCCATGCCTCTTTCGGCCAGCTAAATCTCAAGGGCCAATAACATAGAAAATATTCTTTTAGGGCAGTAGATCAATTTCTTTATTTTAAAGTTTTATTAAATTCCCAATTTTTATTTTTTTTACTGATAAAAAAAAATATTTATGGTTGTTAGACATTACATTGTGTTTAATAAAATTTGTTGCAAATCTGAAATTTTTTTAAAGATAAACTAGTAATTATTTATCTTAAACATTTTATTTAATAATTTAAAAATTGGTTTTTACGATTTATTAATCAATTGAAGTTATTAGCCTGTATATTTTATATTAATTAAATAATTAATTATTGTTTTTTTTTAAAAAAAATTACGTTTACAGGAGATTTGTTTTATCAAAGCAAACCAAGAAACTAAATCAGAATAAATTTGAATAGGACGAAATTAAAAATTTATAATATTTTTGTAAATTATTTTCCTAAATTATTGTAAAAAATTTCAGGATCTTCTTTTGTGGAGTCTCTGCGTTTGCAGATAACATATGATTAATTCTATATTTTAAATATCACCCCAAACAATAGTATTAAAAAATTTCTGAGCCTTTCAACAAAGGGCACCAATATCATTTATTTTTTTTTCTGTTTAATTGATTGATTGATGGCGAAACGTGCGTGTCTGTTTGATTTATGAGGAATGCCAGTCCATTTTCGAGCGTGTTATTTTTCGCGAGTAGGTATACCTGGGGCCCCACTGCGTGGCGAGATCGACGCCGGAGTCCTCGCTGGGCGTTTTGATGTCCTGCTGCTCGACGTCGGGCGCACCCTGGTGATGCAGATGGTGGTGGTGTTGCGGCGAGGCCGCCGGATGGTGCCCTCCCACCTAGAATGGCCGCCCCCGATCAGATCAAATCTCTCTCATTGGAGATTGTGCTCAACTAGCAGCAGCCTTGGTTCATCGATCGGGCCCGATCGATTGAGATTGAGCAATTAATTAATCACAAAAACAAGGAGAGCCACAGAAAAAGCACACGGATCTGCTGCGGGTACACTGAGAGAAAAAGAGCCGCGCGAATTCATGGAAAAAAAATATATGTGATGTGATAAAAAAATGTAGAGAAAAAATTTAGTCACAAACACACCAAGTCAGCACAACATTTTCCCCCAAATATATTATAAAAGAGGTTTACTTTTGTGATCATTTCTTACAGTGTATAGATTTTTTATTAAAATGTGCAGTGAAATTTATATTGATGATTTTTTTTCGATGGAAAATCAGAGAGTGTGAGAACAAGTAAGTCAAATATGCAGTCACAAAATTGCAGGTTTATACGGTGCAACGGTAATCTTTGCTCTTTTGTTGTTCACCTACAATCAGAGGGGTTCAAGCAGCTACTGAATAATTATATAAGATGAAAGGACCAGAGAGCAGATCAGACAGACAAGATAGACAGAGTGCTCAAAGGGAACATAATGCTCGAGATAGAGATAGAGAGAGATCTTGTATACAAATGCAGCAGGGTGAGCCTCTAGCATTACAAATCCTAATTATATTGTATGAGAGAGCCACATTGTTTAGCACATATGATGCGGTGTTCTCCTTTTTGCCACGGTGCTTTAGAATAAATGCTCACTTATTTAAAACACGATTTTATTTTATTATACTTTCTCTTTTTTTTGTGTGTGTTTCAAAATTATTCAAGACTGGTGCGGTGTGTACCTCTCAAAATTGACTTAAGTTTGTTTTCAATTGTAACATTCTAAATAAAGCTACGTGTAAGAAAGTGGCTTTCAAAAATAATTTCTCCATTTTCCCGTTTGATGACAACAATAATAATAATTGATAACTTGTTGATTATTTAGTTATTGTAATTAGGACTCATTTTAGAATTTTAAGGTGCTCCACAGGTAGTACATGATTTTAGACAAATAAATATAAGTAATGATATATCAAAAAAACAATTAATAATGAACAAGCATGCATATTCTCATAGCTATGAAAAGCCCCCTAATTTTTTCATACAATCTAGAGGAACTACGGGGAGATTTTTAAAGCATTGCACTACGTGCCAAAATTTATTCCTGAAAATTCGCTTTTTCTTTTTTTAGTTAGTTCACTAAACACTACACTGGAGGTTGATTTTCATTAGGGGTTGTGGAAATGGAAACAAAATGTATACCCCTGCTCGCTTTCAACAGCTCTCGACATACCCTTAAGTGCTCCTGTCCTCCTCGGTGACCCAGCAGGTCGCGCAATTCTCGGCATCTTTGACCTTCCGCTTCTCTTCTGTACACAAGCTCGTCGAATCTCGCCCTGTCTTCAGGACGCACCACCTCCCGCAACTCAGTCAACAGGGTGTACTTGAAATTAAAACAGAAATATTATTAATTAAAACATAAAAAAAATTATTTTATATTTTTATGATAAATTAAAAAGGAAATTGTTACTAAGCATTGAATTGTATTTTTATTCAATTTTTTTAAATTATAATTTTAAATAAATTGTATGATTATATTTACCTCAAATTAAAACAAATTTTCTAATATTTAAACATTACAAAAGTTGATATGTTAATAAAAATTAAAATTAAATAAATATATATTCTCAAACGTTCTAATATAGCTACATGGACGTATAGAGCTCAGCCCTCCTGAGATCAATGTTATCAATACTTTAACATTATTTAATATTTATTAAATTGAAGACTTTTTCTCCATAAAGACCAATATATTAATGCACCAAATGTTTTTGATTATTAAATTATTATGTTACAAAAACGTATAAGAACAATTTGGATCGATAAGCAGCCTTTGTTCGAATTGACAATCAGCAAGTTAAATGCGCTGTGATAATTATAATTTGCAAGTAAAATTACTCATCTCGTTTCAATGCACGTACAAATACCTTTTCAGGGGTGTTGAGCATTTCGAGCAGCACGGCGACGAACGCCTCAACGTCCATTTGCCTGGCTGCGTATTCTCGTTGGTAATAGTCGAGGGAAGCAAACTCGGGGTGTGGAAGCAAAACTCGCGCCTTCTCCTGCACCATCTGCAGCGCCGCGGACGCGCCCGGGTCGTGACTCCCTCTTTGCCACCCCCTGTGTGTGTTTAGGAATTTTTTTTTTACATATACGAATTATTTTTCTTTAAAATATTGAGCACTTACGCAGGACTACGCGAGGTGTGCGGCAGGTGCGTCTCCCAGGCGTGGCCGTGGGCCAGCGACGAGGTGTGGGGCGGCGCCGCCCCCGAGGAAGGCACCTTGCCCACGTCCCGCACAATCAGACTCATCCTCTTGTGGTACTTGAGCTGGCTCACAGCCTCGTCGTGGGTCACCGCCATGAAGCTCTGGCCGTTGACCTCCAGGATTTGGTCACCGACCTAACAAATGGAGAAGATAAAAACGGGCATAGTTTAGTTTTGAATTAAATAAAATTAAATTTTCTAATATTTAATCTTAGGCATATAACATAACTTTGTTTACTAATTTTGTTGTGGACAAAATACTGTAAAATTTATATATAAATCGATGACAAACTTAGAAGAAAATGAGTAATGATTTTATCTCAACGATCATGGCAACGGATTTGTAAAATATGCAAAGCAATTTCAATATTTTTATCTCCAAAATTTATTATTGCAATAGATTCCCAAAATATGAAAGATGGAATTAAATTTTTCTGCAATTATTTAAGCAAGAAATAAAATTTGCAGATTTGTATCGTTTGATATTAAATAAAAAAGGTCATCAGAAACTTTTCAATAAAGAAAATGACCATAAATGCCTTACCTACTAAGGAATTCATTTTTTTGTATAAAAAATATATTATTTCCATTCTCTTCTGTAGAAATATTAAAATAAAATAAAAGTAATATTAATTTCTCACGGACTTTTGTACCAAAATGTTTTGATTATATAGATGATTGTCTCTTTATCAAAAATTAATTTTTTTATGTAAACTATATAAATTAAAATTAAGCGTTAAAATTTGCAAATAATTCCAATATTATCATATTTTTCGTCCCTTTTTCAATCAATTACTATTGTGTACTCCATGGGAACCTTTGAAGTATTGAGGAAATCAGCACATATTATTCCCATCTGCATAAATCAGTGGCGGTTCTTCTGCAAATCCATAAATTGCCGCAAATAAAATCCCCTCGCTCTTTACGAGCAATGTGGTAGAACTGCATCAAAGCATGAAATACTGCAAATTCCGCAGAAAAGCAATAAACATAAATGGTGTATTTTATTGAATCGTCTCCTCCATTCTGTTCGTGTTTCCTCAATTCGCAGTAACAGGGCGGAAAGAAGCGGCCCCGTGTTTCTGGAGGCGCATTATTCAGAACAGGCCTCCGTCGTCGTGCAAGGGTAGCATTTCATTTTTATACATGCCAGGCACATTCGCAGCGGCGCAGCAACTTTTTTAATAACAATCTAGCAAAGGAAAAGGTACATTTATAGCGCCGAGCACTTTCCTTCCCCAGCCAGGTAAAATTCGCCTTCCAAGACTCGGTTTATTAAGGCAGGGACATTATTTAAATAATTCTAATTCTTCTTCCTGACTGTGAATCTCTGATCAAATTTAAGTATCATTTTAACTAAAATTAACTTTATTTTTATTTATTTCCATGATAATTTTTATGTTTCAAACGGTTCACATCTAGTTCACAAATATCTGTAAATAAAAAAAACCATAAAAACCTTGACAGAGTCGATGTCAATTCTAATTTCTATTCTATCATCATAAAATAAAACCTCTTGATTTTTAAATATAATATAAGCAACTTTACAAAGCTTTGCACAAGCTTCTTTTGTTTGGTTAAGCATATTTTTTTTAAATTTCGTTGAGTGAGTATTAAATTGTTATAAATTATAATTAAAATTATATAAAATAAATCAAGTTATTAAAAAGTATCATAAAATATCTAAAACAAAATTTTAAAAATTAGTCTTTTTTTGAATTTTTTAAAAGTTTATTATCTTATATTCTATTTTGTGCAACATTTCAAAAAGAAAAACGAATGCTTTTTTATTCACAAGAATCTTACATTATTTTTTTGTGTATTGCTTTATGTTGATGTTGCCTAGATGTCAAATTATCGAGCATGAGCTCAAACAATGCACCGAACCGCGACTTCCGCTCGGAGTTTGAGTTCGGCGATATTGCCCTGGTTGTATATTTGCCCACGGATTCAACATTTCAATATTGACAGCGAGCAATGGAGCGATCCCGTCGCGGCAGATGCGCTTTGTTCCGGCAGACAAAAGAGGAGATTGATGCATGTTGTGTGTTTCTGTGAGTGGGCGAACAAGCGAGCGAACGAACGAGTGATATAGCAGGTCATGGTCAAGGGAACCAACAGCAACAGCTCGCACAGAGAGTGCACGCGCCCCGAAAAAGCACCCCGGGCGGCAGGGCGAACTGGTGGTGCGGCCAAAAATGATCAGCCGACCGGAAAAGCTTCAAGCTGGGTGTGTTTAAATGTGTAACATTTGTCTGAATTTAAGATATTTCAAACGTATATGTTTTATTTTTATACAATAAGACAAAAATAGAAAAGTTACGAAGCTATGAAAATAGCCCTTGATTTTTAATTTGCTTCAGGATTTGGGAATTGTCCAATTTCGTCAGAGTAATTATAGGTTGTAAAAAAAAAATTAATGTTGAAAAAAAATCGTGCCGAAAATCGAGAAACGTGATCTAGCTCTGGGAAAGCGCGAGGCCGGGGGATCAATACCACACGGCGGGCCGCCCGAAAGATGGCACCAACGCAGCCCGCCGCTCGCATCAGCTGAGCGGGTTGCATACTAAGTTGTTCTGTGACCGATTTAAATGTTCTCTCTGTGTGCGTCGGGTTGGGAAATAATTTGAACGCTGCGAGAAATCGCGAATAATAAAGCCGTACGTCATGAATTTCCAGTTTGCTGTGATTGCCTCTTTCGCGCTCGCTTTGAGCGGCGAAATAAAATGGCAAGCGTCCAATTCTGCACAAAGCAAAATGTAAACAGGAAGAGAAGAAACGCGTCGCAAAAGGCGAGTTGGCCCGTGAAAAGTGACGACCCGAATCGCCCCCAGAATCCTAAAATGTTTCTATTTCCGCGCTGAATAAATACAAATCTTGTGCCAAAAACGTGCAGAATTGTTCCTAAAAAAAGGCCCTTTAACTTGAAATTTATATAAAAAAAAAAAAAAAAAAATTAAAACATTTTATCACCTGGTTTTGCATTATTTAATTACAAATTGTTTTAATTATTAACTTTATTCTTTCTATTTTTAAAATTTCTTACCTTTTAATAAAACTTTATTAATTATTATTGTATTATGTAATTAAAAACTTAACAATCTGATCGTTTTTATGTTGTTCTTATTAAAAATTATAATTTCAATCCATATATTTTATTGTCCTTCAGGTACGGAAAGCAATTTTCAACCTTGGTTAAATTTGGATATCTGGATTGTGTGAATCTAATTTATTTTAATTTTGTATAAATTATATAAGTAAAAAAAAAAAAAAAAAAAAATATGTCATAATTCAATAACATAAGTTTTTATCATTCATTTACATACAGAACATCCGAAAACGTCAAAACAAATAATCATCAATCTAGATCTTGACTCTTGAGGGAATTGCAGTATTTAATAAACTGTTAAAAAGGCATTCAGAAATAATTCTCTACGTTTTTCTTTCTTTCTTCGAGTACAGAGCGGCAACTTTTAATAAGAGTCGGGTTGGAGTTAGTTGATTGTTCAAACGAATCCAATTTCCGCGTCAGGCAGAATTAATTAAGAGAGTTAGCGCGAGGAATTATTCGGCTCGGCATGATTGAATTTCCCAGCCGGTCATTTGCCAGAGTAGAAGAGCTTTAATTTCCAGCTCTTGCAATCACACAGTGTTTTTGTTTCAGCCTTTACAAGAATAGGGACCCTTTTTAATCAAGTTAACTTTCATGCACCGCGTTATGTTATTTTTTTCCGCGTGTGTTTGAACTCCTCGGGCTGAAAATCAATATTTATCCGCCAGCCATTCATGCATTCGAGCCCGAAGGCCGCGCGTATTATTTATTCAGGCAACTCTCGAACTTGCAGCCGATGAGGGGAGCTTATCAAAAATTGAATTCGAGGCTGCATTCGAATGGCGGCTTAATTGAAAAATATTCCCGGCGAGGGAGCGACGCCACAGGGAAAATCCGGGCAAGGCACCCCCTCGAGAGCGATCTTGAGATGGCCCCGAAACTATTTCCCTGATGAAATATTCATTTGATCGTGCTTTTTATCAGAGCGACGTAAATCACCAGCGGGCACCACTTATGATTAAACAGGCCCCAAATGTTAAGCAGATTTTCTCATCTTTTAATCTCCGCAATCAATAAAATTATCCTTGATGTCTCAAATCAGATATATTTTCCTTTCTTGACGACGATCTTATTTATTTAGATTGCAATTTACATTAACTAAATTGGAAAATATTATTTTGAAAAATTAAAATACAATCATTTCAAAAGGTTTTTCAAGCTGCATTTTTTCTTTAAACTAATTGTGAATTAAAAGTTTTGGGAGAACATGTGGCTCTTTTTAGCAAAATTCAAATGTTTATATTCTAATTGAAAATAGAATCAAGTATTTCGATAACGCCCCATGCATGAGTTTACTTTTTGTTATAAGTGACACCGATAATTTGATTTATGAAAAAGAGCTCACGTTTCAGGATATTTCAAGGGATTTTTTTTTTATCATCCACCCATTCTGTAATTTCATATGCAAATTAAAAGCAAACTCTCCACTGCTTATTTTGCAAGAAAAAGCCTCACTCTGCAGAAGCTTAGCTAGAAGGACAGTTTTAATAGCTTCTCGAGTGCTCGCAATATCATAAATTGAAAAATTAGTTTTTCAAGTAATGTCGGTTCCATTTTTTCTATTTAGTTGTGCCTAAGATTCAATAAATATTTATGTACAGATGTTAAATCGATCCATATTAATTAAAATTATGTCAGTGAAAATAAAAATGAAAAATTGGCCGTAAAAAAAAATAATGTAGAATAATTTCAGAACAACTGTCTTGGGGGAATTAGAGCATTACCTAACTATCTTGTCGTTTTAAGAATTCACGTTAATTTCTAGCATAATAATATAAGTTGAGCTGAGAATATTGTGCAAAATATACAAAACGAGTTATTTTTAACATGAAACATCTTCAAAAACTGGTATATTTTCGTTCATATTCGTAATATAAAACCCCCATTTTATTAAATAAAAGCACAACTGGAAAAGAACGCAGGGGGAGACCAAAAAAATATCCTACACTTAAAAGAAAAGAGCGTGTGGGAAAATTGTGGCAGGGTTGCAGCTGAGTCCCCACAGAAATCGAGGTCGTCCTGCGAAATTTGATACAATAATTGCGACTCCGCCTCGCTGTCTCGCAAATATCATATTTTACAATAAAGAGAAGCCCCCATGCCAATTCCTAGAACGAACAAGAGAAAACGGTATTTCATGTATGCCTGGAAGCGACCGCGAAACAAAACCGGGCCCGCATTATTTTTCGTCAGAGCTGCTGAAAATTGGGCGCCTAATGGAGAGTTAAAAGGTCACGCGGATGCTAAAATATTTACGAGAGATGGAGGGACTAGGCAGTCGTAAAATGAAGGAGCTGGACTCACCACGAGACCGCAACGCTCGGCCACGCTGCCAGGGTCCACGCCGGTCACAAAAACGCCCAGGCCATACTCGATGCCGCCCCGGATCATCAGGCCCAAACTCTGACCTGGCTCTATGCTAAGCTCGACCTGTGGACACACAAAAAATCAATTGATTTTGGAACAAGCACTTGAAATAAATTATTGATTTCCAATCATTGAAACTCTCGGCGTGAAGAAATGAAAACGAAACATACAAAATAAACAGCTGGATCAACAAAAAAAATTAGAAAATTACTAATGAAGAAAATGAGTTTTAGATATTGATGGAATTTATCGTAAAAAATCTGTTGTTAAAATGTGATGAGAACTAAAACCAAGTCAACTGCGGGTCACTGCGGCGGATGGGGTCTTTTTGGTATCAAAAGTTTGTTCAAAATTCTTGCTAGAGATGGTGCCGTTTCTTCTAACAATTTCTTTTTTTTTAATTAAATTGTTTTCAAAAATTGAATGAAAACCATTTGAACAAATATACAACAATAATAATTGAACTGGGAAATAATTATGTAATTCTAAGAGGGGAAAAGTTAAGAAAAAATTAATTAATCTTTGTTTACACAATGATGACGTGATGAGCACTTTTTTGTTACAGATGGGTCATGGCTTGTTAAATTTTGCTGAAAAAAAACAAGGCTTATCCTTGTGTTTGAGCCGGTCAGAGCGTGTTTTTTTACGAAACGTCATAATAGTTTTGGCCACAATCCAAAGTTTTTTATTTCGCAAGAGGAAAAAATTGCTTTATCAGAGAACAAATAACATTTTTTTTTTAACATCAGGTTTATTTGGACGAAATTAGTGAATTGGAAAGTGCTAATTTTTAATTTTTACTGTGAGCATAGTTTTTTCTTAAATAAAATTTCACTTATGCAACTAAACAATTTAAGAATTAGAATAAAAAATTCAACAAGATAAACTTAATTTTAAATGGAATGTGCAAAATATAGTCTTAATTGCACCATTCAAACTGCATTTTACAGGTTAAAAGTTGGTCTGGTCTAGGCTTTTGGATCGCCCTTCATATTTTCCACGGGTCTCCAGGCGGATATTGAATGAACGCGCCCCTGGACATAAATTTACACTCATTGAGTGACGCAAAATGGGCTAAGTGGCGTAGAGCATGGTTTTAAGGTGCCATTATCGGCGTGCGGCTTCATTCGACGGGAGGGTACGCGTGCGTGTCCCCACCGGGTCAATAAAATGCAAATTCCGGTACACCACATTTCCTCGTGATCCAATTTAGCCGTCGAAACGACTTTCGATAACAACACGAAAATGTGCGCCAATTTCATAATTTATTTCCAAAATTCCTTTCAGTTAACTGACCTTCCGCGTCCGTTCTTTACTCCTGGCCGAGTGGAAGTTCCACGTCCTGATGCTGGAGGCGGGCTGCGGGGGCGGCAGTGGAGGCGGCCCGCTCAGGGCCGCAGCGTACTCTGGAGGCGGCGAGACGGGCCGGCCGTGTCGGTCAGTCCACGTGTACAGCTGGCCCGCCCCCGCGGAGGCGGCTGCCGTGGAATTTGGCGGCTGCAGAGCGGGATACGAAGTTGGGTTTCCGTGGCTGCGAACAGTCATGGTGACCTTTCGACAAGTCTTGAGCATCTAGAACAGAATTTGCAAATTTAAACAAACAAATATTTAAAATATTAACAAGCATATTAAAAAATTAAAATAAAAACATTTTCACAGCTTATACAGTTTAAAATGATTTCTTTATAATTAATGTCATTTTAAAATTCAAGTCTTTGTATTTAAATTATCAATTTTTTATGGTAATACATTATAAAATGAAGTGCAATGTTTCATTTATGTCATAAAAATAAATTTATTGCTTCTGATGGAATTTACAGCATCAATTAAATTATAAATTAATTGTATTCACTATTCACCTCCAGCATAATAATAATAGCAATCAGCCAATAAATTAAAAAATAAATTTAATTGAGCAGCTTTTAAATGCCGCCAATTTTTACAATTAAGTATTTATTCCACTTTATTCATCACGTAGGTTTTAAAATTTGTATTGTTGATTTCATCATAAAAATCATTATTTTTTGAGGATGAAATAAAAACTATTATGTATATCCTGGGCTTCATATGGCTCCAATACTTTCAGGTTTCACCTCATTAAACACGTGCAGTGTTTGCCACAAACTCTTTGCCTAACAAGATGATTTAATTGGATTGTACTCAGAGCCTGTACACGTAATTAGCATGCATGCGAAACAAATTGCTCTAGAGATTTGTTATCACCGCAAGCGGCACAAATTATTTCAGCACCTGGTTGAGCCAGGCGCCGCATTTGAATAAAAGTTTAATGAAAACAAAAGCAAAGAGAAAAAAATTAAAATGAAACTGCAGCTGCCTTTAAAATTTAATTATTATGTTACTTTTGATAAACACAAATCTTAGAAATTAATAAGAATTCATTTGAAAAAAGAAGAACAAAACATTGTGATGTTGTAGCATACTTAAAACTTAAAAAAAAAACTTTAATTTGTGCAAGTTGAGAAGTTTATATTTAATCTCTGCAGTCTTTCAAAATTTTAATCAACATTCGGAGTCTCTCGCAAATAAACAACCGCGTAAAAATTATTTCATGCGTCTTTACACTTCACGGACAACTTAAACAACCAAATTGAGATCGGAAAATCTCTGCTAGCGTCACTCATAATTTATTAACGCGTCGTGTAGCACCACTTGCGTCTCGCGATTTGAAAGTCTAATTTTCACGGCTTCACGTCGACTTAGCTGAGGCGAGTCGCAGCTTTCCAGATGTTTTTCGCGAGTTGGTGAAAAATCACCATCGTAATATATATTAAATTTTGGCTTACAGCCAAAAGAGACGATCTTTCATGGCAAGATAATTAAAATTTCCCTCATTTCGAATCCAATCAACATTTCTTGGAATTAATATAGCTTTTTCTTTGAAAATTCTTAAAATAGGTTAACAAATTTTTAACCTAGGCTATTGAATTTAAATAAACTAAAATGCTCTATTATAGCGAATATAATTTTAAATAAAATAAAATTCAGGTTTGCTCCTCGGGAAAGAGCCACCGCTCCTGGGGAGCCGGCGCTCCTGGGGAGCCACCGCTCCTGGGGAGCCACCGCTCCTGGGGAGCCACCGCTCCTGGGGAGCCACCGCTCCTGGGGAGCCACCGCTCCTGGGGAGCCACCGCTCCTGGGGAGCCACCGCTCCTGGGGAGCCACCGCTCCTGGGGAGCCGGCGCTCCTGAGGAGCCGGCGCTCCTGGGGAGCCGGCGCTCCTGGGGAGCCGGCGCTCCTGGGGAGCCGGCGCTCCTGGGGAGCCGGCGCTCCTGGGGAGCCGGCGCTCCTGGGGAGCCACCGCTCCTGGGGAGCCACCGCTCCTGGGGAGCCACCGCTCCTGGGGAGCCACCGCTCCTGGGGAGCCACCGCTCCTGGGGAGCCACCGCTCCTGGGGAGCCACCGCTCCTGGGGAGCCACCGCTCCTGGGGAGCCGGCGCTCCTGAGGAGCCGGCGCTCCTGGGGAGCCGGCGCTCCTGGGGAGCCGGCGCTCCTGGGGAGCCGGCGCTCCTGGGGAGCCGGCGCTCCTGGGGAGCCGGCGCTCCTGGGGAGCCGGCGCTCCTGGGGAGCCGGCGCTCCTGGGGAGCCACCGCTCCTGGGGAGCCGGCGCTCCTGGGGAGCCACCGCTCCTGGGGAGCCGGCGCTCCTGGGGAGCCACCGCTCCTGGGGAGCCACCGCTCCTGGGGAGCCACCGCTCCTGGGGAGCCACCGCTCCTGGGGAGCCGGCGCTCCTGGGGAGCCACCGCTCCTGGGGAGCCACCGCTCCTGGGGAGCCACCGCTCCTGGGGAGCCACCGCTCCTGGGGAGCCACCGCTCCTGGGGAGCCACCGCTCCTGGGGAGCCGGCGCTCCTGGGGAGCCACCGCTCCTGGGGAGCCACCGCTCCTGGGGAGCCACCGCTCCTGGGGAGCCACCGCTCCTGGGGAGCCGGCGCTCCTGGGGAGCCACCGCTCCTGGGGAGCCACCGCTCCTGGGGAGCCACCGCTCCTGGGGAGCCACCGCTCCTGGGGAGCCACCGCTCCTCGGGAGCCACCGCTCCTCGGGAAAGAGCCACCGCTCCTCGGGAAAGAGCCACCGCTCCTGGGGAGCCACCGCTCCTGGGGAGCCACCGCTCCTCGGGAAAGAGCCATCGCTCCTCGGGAAAGAGCCATCGCTCCTCGGGAATTTGAATTGATGACCGAAACTGGTACATAGAGTCGTCTTGTTTTTGATTGAGAACCCTTTTTAATACGATGAAGAAGCCTGAGTTCTTTACTTCCATGATTAAGCTTTAAGCTTTGATTCGAATATTATGAATTCATAATAAAATAAATAAAACGAACTAGTGAGCATCCTATGATTTTTTCTAAAAATTTCTAATGTATGAAATCTACTAGGCTTCATTTCAAGTATATATAAAATATTTAATTTCAGTTGCAAACAAAGATGCTACATTAACGACATATAAGCAACACAATATGACAGGAAATAAAATATATTGAAAATAATTTGTGCTATATGAGAAAAATAATATTTATTAAAATTTAAATTAAAAGATTTAAAAAGTTCAAATAACAGTTCAAAACTAAAATTGTATTACACAATTATTGTTAATTTTACTTTTACTACATTATGCTTTAAATCCAAATTGGAAACAAAACCTTTGCCAAAAGTTAAAAATGATCAAAATTAATTAGATAAATTGTTAATCCAGTTGTAGTTTGAATCAAATGTTGCAGATTTTGTTTACTAATTTTGAAACGAGTAACAGTGTGTTGGTGAGGGAATAAAACTGATTTGTATCAAACCTTGGCAGCTTTTCCGTGTTTCACGATGCCAATAAATTTAATTAGCAGCAGAACGCCTGGCCGCAGCCTGGATATGCAACTGGCATGACATGTACGCTCTACCGGCTGCATCGGCGACCCAATCAGACCCCACATCAGTTACGCGTGCTGCCCACGCACTACTTGTTCGCTGCCCCCGGTCGATATCAACAACGAACAAACGGAGGCGATTCGAACTATAGAGGGACAGGTGTCTGTCTATCCGTCTGTCTACCCACCCGTTTACAAAAATAGAGAATAAATCTACCATCTATACGTTATTTTCGCACAAAAACGTTCCTTTTCCAATTGTCAAAAGCAATTTTCTTTAGAAAAAAAGAAGGCTTACCTTGAGAGCCTCGTCATGGCTGACGCCACCGAAAGGCATTCCGTTAACCTCTAGGATTGAATCACCAGGTCGAAGGCCGACGTGCTCGGCGACGCTGTTCTCCTCCACCCTCGAGATGTAAACGCCCACGCCTGCAACACGACGCACATTTGTTGAATGAACTTACGTCAATAAATAATTTTCTACAACAGATAATTATTTTTTACAAACAAAACAAATTCATTTCATTGTATTGTATTTTTTTAATGTACATTTCCTTGTGTTTATACATAATATTTTTTTAGTGTCCTTTGTTGTTTATTGATATTTTTTCTCATTAAATTTACGTCAAAATTATGTAATTTTTAAAGTTCAAACTCGCTTTTCATTGAATAAATTTAAACATTAAGCTGTAAAATATTACGAAAATTGCTGGTTTACGATTATAAGTTTTGTGAACTTGTATTTAATCGGGAGATATAAATTCAAATTTCAACTTGAGAACGTCATGCACCGTGTATAAAGTTCTCTTTCTCTAAACTACACAAAAAGTGACTGTGGCGGAAATGAAAAGTGTTAATGTGGAAACAACATGCAAAGTCTGGAATAATTTGCATTCGGATGCGATCGAACACCAACACAGCACTCGTCTAGTGCATGTATTTAGGTCGGCGACTAATTCGCTTCGCAATTCCATCTACATATACACGGACGCACTCATTCACGGCGTCGAGTTGCCACTCGTGTATACCGACGAGTGTGTGTTTTGTAGTGTAATTCTGTGCAGCCCGGCCGAGGAGCGTGGGTGGTGGAGCAGAAATGGAGGAACGCGCTGCGGAAAGCCGGGATTTCGCTCACACCTACATTTTCCGGTGCTCAAAGTGAGAATTGGCCGGTTTACTTTGTCCAGCATTCTTCTAATTCTAATTCTTAAAACAAAGCGGTACCAGTACAAAATGTATTTTATTCCTAATAATATTTTTTAGAAAAAATTGTATACTTTATATTTCAAATTAATTTTTTTTTTTTTTTTTTTTAAGGGTCAGGCCTAGACAAAGTTTTGTCGGCCTGTGCCCTTTATTGGTGGTGCAGAAGGCATCACCCAATTATTATTATTATTTTTTTTTATACATTTTTGAATGATCCCTAATTGTATCTTATGTTTGCAGCGCGTCCGTCGCTCTCTCTTCTTAATAATTAATTTAATTTCTACAAATTATTAAGTCACCGTAATCCACTATTGTCCTCCTCTCTCCACGGCAAAGAACCAACCATTGCCACCCAAGAGAGCGCTGCAAAACACCATCCGCGAAAATTGCACCGTTTTTGCGCCGCGCCGAGAGAGATGCCGATCTACACGAACGAAGAATAAATTGGCTGCACCACACGCTTTCAGCGACGTCGATGCTCAAGCGGAATAATAACTCGGTTTATCTTCCCTTTGTGCAATTTTCACAGAAATAATGTGCCGACTGGCGAAACTTCCCAGCGATTGTCATGTTTGCACATCACTTTAAGAATAAATTTGTTTCCGCTTGACATGGCGCAAGACAACACATTACGAGAGAGAGCAAAAAAGTTAATTATATTAAAATCCGTTGTTTTTCTTTAATAAATATAAGATGGTTCTCATGGAAACTTTGAAATCAATTCTTAGAAACTTTCAGATGAGAATGAATGAAAGCCATATAAATTAATAGAAATTTTTTAAGCAGTATAATGCCAATTAACATTTATTATTAAACAAACAAAATGCTTATTAATTCATCTGATAAAATCTTCTTTGCACAAATCGTTACTTCTAGTCAGTGTTAATGCAAATTTACACTCTATATTAGGAATTTTGCATCATTTTTCTCTTGTAATTACAAAATGATAACTATCTTTCACTCATTCTAAATTTATTGAGAATAAGTTTTGTAACAATTTCCAATTTGTGATGGGAAACAAAATTTCTAGTTATATAAAAGTCCGCGTTTTGTCTTGCACGTCTATTTAAAACATTTTGTTGTGTATTAAGTTTTGGATAAAATTATAATTGTGAGTTTGAACCAAAAGTTGTGTACTATTTTCTTTATTAGACTAACAATCTATCAAAATTTTAAAGCTCTAAGCTCAAAATGTTTTCTATGCAAATAATTATTTGTACGTGTAATGGAATATGAATTTCTATATACAAAATAATGAGCATGTAATTTAATCTGCGAAATACAAGTCCCATTAAAAAAGTTACTGAGAAGGCCGACAACAATATGAGTAATCATAATGTGGCACACTTTCCGTTCGGCATTCGTTAAAATGAAAAATGCACATCCGCGAATAAATTCCAGCAGGAAAACGGCGGTGCTGCGCTCTCTAGAAGTGACATTTTTATACACAGCCATAAATTTTTTGCTCGATATATACGCTGTGCGGGTGCCAATAAGCGACTTGCTTACAGCTTATTATACAGGAGTAAAAAGAGACTCTCGGCGACACTTGAGCCGAATGGCATTTGAAAATAGGCCAGTCCGGCTCATCTCTCTCCGTGCAGCGCCATAAAAGTTTCATTGCACTCGAAAGTGCCAAAGCCAAACACGGCGCGCGTCAAACAATGAGCCGCCTGATTAATGACGCGCCGACGACCTTTTGCAGTTTTCTCTCCCCAGCAATTTCATTACACACACGTTCGGCTGCGATGCAATTAGCGGGCATGCACGAATCATTGATTCGTCCGTTCGCCCGCCTAATTGGACTGTTCCAGTTCGTCTTGACGGAAAGTCGATAAAGCAAAATAATCGGCCCTCCATCTGCATGCGAAGGGTGATTTTTTTATCCGACACAAGACTGCAAACTGGTTGCAAATGCATTTATAAAGAATAATTAAATTTTGAACGATTATCATTTATTTAATTATTTCCATAATAATATTTATAATTAAATACGAAATTGAGTGTAAAAGGAGTCTCCACTCCTTGCTTGGGTGTAAAATACTTATGAAAATAATTTATCAAAACTACCCGGCATATGACAGAGAGGTTTTCATATTTTGATTACAAATCAATTTATTAAGAGCTTTGATTCAAATTCTCTATTTGTATCTTTAATAGTTTATACGCATTTTTAAAATTTTTTCTGTTTTTAGAGAAATTTTTAAATAGTTGTATCTTATGTTTGGGCTAGAAATAGAAGAAATAGGTGAATAAATTTTTAACCTATTGAATTTAAATGAACTAAAATGCTCTATTATAGCGAAAATAATTTTAAATAAAATAAATTCAGGTTTGCTCTTTGGGAAAGAGCCACCGCTCCTCGGGAAAGAGCCATCGCTCCTCGGGAAAGAGCCACCGCTCCTCGGGAAAGAGCCACCGCTCCTCGGGAAAGAGCCACCGCTCCTCGGGAAAGAGCCGTGGCTCCTGGGGAAAGAGCCACCGCTCCTCGGGAAAGAGCCATCGCTCCTGGGGAAAGAGCCGTGGCTCCTGGGGAAAGAACCGTGGCTCCTGGGGAAAGAGCCATCGCTCCTCGGGAAAGAGCCACCGCTCCTCGGGAAAGAGCCACCGCTCCTCGGGAAAGAGCCACCGCTCCTCGGGAAAGAGCCACCGCTCCTCGGGAAAGAGCCACCGCTCCTCGGGAAAGAGCCACCGCTCCTCGGGAAAGAGCCACCGCTCTGCTTTGATATCTTTCGGAGGCAAGTGACTCAAAAATAATACACAATCTGCCGAAGAATCACCAAAAGATATCGATGGCCAATGTCGAAGAGATTTGCGAGCGACGCACGACGAACACCCACTCCGGAAAGGCGGGGGAGAAAAATCGAGTCCGTGGGATGTATAGATTTAGGTTGTCGAATGCAGGCAACTTTCCGCCGCACCAAGCATACCGTCGTGAGCCAGTATAAAAAATGAGGCCGACACGTGGGTCACTGAAGAAGTCATCAATAATTGGGTGGCGAAAAAAAATCGGCAGTTCGCTCGGCGCTGGCGTAATCATTAGTAATGGAGCGGAAGCTCAATAGCCAGGCCCGAGAGCACGCAAAAAGGGTGAGCGGCATTTTGATTGAATCGCGCCTCTGTTCCACTATGTGCACATAATTCATTTTATTAGTTTAATGAATAAAAAAATAAAAAAAATTAAAATCTGAAGTTTTGAGAGTACAAACTCCTCTGATACTGTTCACGTCCGATTACATTTCGCACATTTTTTTTTTATGTCCGCAAACTCTAAATCATTCCCGTAACCATAACATAAGCCGAATGTAGAACTATTTTTCAACTTAAGCCGTTTGTACAATACATATACATAAATATTTTTAATACGAAGGAATAATATTATTGAATTAGTATATTTTAATTAAATCAGTTTTTATTAAAAAAAAAAAATTAATGAAGATGATTATTGTACTTCGCTCAAAATATCTTCTTCTTAAGCGAGCTCAAAATTGCCTATGTAATTAATTAAAAAATAGACCTGGTTGGTCAGCGTTCAAAGTAGCTAAATGCCAAAATGCCAAATTGGCTAAATACTGTTTTGACCAAACTCAATCCCGCCGTAAAAATGGACTCCTGATGAGCTATTTCAACCCAAGAAAATAAGACATAAATATATTCCTGTGAAAAAAATACCTAATTTTGACGTTAATTTAACGCAGCTCTGCAAGCCAAGGTATCAGTATCAATTAGTACTGCATGTGGATATATTTAGAAATAATCAGTATTATGATGAAACTTATTTAAAATGTTTGAAATTTTGTTCACAGGAGACATTTTTTTTCATTTAACATACATTTTTAAGGTAAAAAATATTTAGAATTATATATATATGAAGTTGAATTCAAGGGTTTCTTTCAAGGCCTGTATCTCAGCAACGGCTGGACAAAATTTAAAAAAAAATTGCAATGAAATTGCTCAAAATAAAGTCAATTTTTGTTTTCTTGGATTAAAAATCAATTAATACAGCGTTTCGCTCAAATTTTTTAATTTTTTTTTTTAAATATTTTTTTTAAAGCTGGTATTTTGGAAACCAATAAAATTCTAAAATTTCAAACAAAACATTTATTAGAAAAAACATTTTTGCGGTCACTTTCACTATCAACTTTTCAAATTTGGACTATTAGTTACAGAGATACAGACCTTTATGCAATACTTTACTCAACATCAACTTATGGCAAAAAAAC